CTGCTTGGCAGAAGTAAAAAAGTTCCCTGACCCCCTGCTCTAACCATTGGGGCAAAAGATCTACAAAGAAGCAGCCTCTTTGCCACCAACGGTTTGAATTTCCTGCTTTTCCTCCCTGCCCTTTTCTGTTTGTAAGTCAAAGCTCCAGCTGCAAGTCAAAGCAAAATTTTGCGGCCTGAGCTGTTCGTACAGTGGGGTCTTGACTTAAGAACGGCCCGAGTTAAGAACATTTTTACTTAAGAACCACTCACAGGAAAATATTGACTTGACTTACATACTTAGATTTGAGTTAAGAACTGGAAAAAACCACGTGGGAGGCAGGGAAAGTGCAAAATTTGAACTTTCAGTTAACTGTTGGCCAGTGAAAAGGGTGCCTGTCTGCTTCCTCACTCCTCCCAGCGTTTAGAGAGTGGATTGGGAGACAGTCTTCAGACTGCCTGGTACTGTCCTGCCTGGACTGTATTTTCCCTGCCTTCCCTGAACCTTTTTTGACCTAAGAAAAAAAGAAACAAAATATCCCCCTCTAGTGGTCGAAGGCGGAATAGCAGCTTCCTATTAGTTTCTATGGACGGAAAAGAGCAGATACGGATCAAATGGTTTTCAATGCATTCCTATGGGAAATGCAGATTTGACCTGAGAACTTTTTGACTTGAGAACCGCCTTCCAATACGGATTAAGTTCTCAAGTCAAGACCCCACTGTAAGTGAAATTGTTTGTAAGTCAGGGCGTTTGTAAGTCAAGGCACCACTGCATAAGATACAGGCAAAAATCCAATGATGACATAAATGCTCCTAATAATAACCAGGTGTTCCAAATATCTGATTTTCAAGGAGTGAATGATAAAAGACATTTTCTTCTTGATAGTGGCAGTTTCATACACATATGTCGATTTCGAGAAAGCTTCAGTCAACTTGATACAGAGAACAGACCAAAGATATTATAAGCAAATCAACAAAGATTAAATGTGCTTGGAGCTGGAACAGTACAGTGGTGCCTTGCTTAACGATTTCCTCGTTAAACGACAAAACCGCTATACGATGACTGTTTTGCGATCGCAAAACGATGTTTTAATAGGCAAAATCTGCTTTGCGACAATCGGTTCCCTGCTTTGGGAACCGATTCTTCGCATTATGACATTTTTAAAAGAGCTGATCGGTGGCTTCAAAATGGCCGCCCACTGTGTAAAATGGCTCCCTGCTGTGTTTTTGGACAGAGTCCTCGCTTTACAGGCACCGAAAATGGCCGCCCCTATGGAGGATCTTCTCTGGACGGTGAGTTTTTCAGGCCATTGGAACACATTGAACTAGTTTTTCAATGCGTTTCAATGGGCTTTTTAATTTTGCTTAATGAGGATTTCGCTCTGCAGCAATTTCGCTGGAACGGATTATCCTCGTTAAGCGAGACACCACTGTACTTTTAAAGTTTCTCACTTCTAAAAATGAGGTGGTGAACCTTACATCAACAAATGTTGCTTTTGTCCCTGAAGCCTCAAATAATTTACATGTCACTAAAAGGATTGCAAAGAATGGTTATACTGTAATATTTAAAGGTGACACAGGAA